GAAAATATATTTACAGAATCTTATTTCTATATATACTCTACACCATGGACGTGTCTTCTTCAGTTTACAAGAATTGGGTTTTCACCGATCAGGCTCATCCCCAAGCTCCGCTCGAACAGTAAACATCAAGTCCCTTCTTACAATCCTTGAGGGACAAGTAACCTTTAAATTCTTGAGGAACAAGTAACCTTAAATTTTTTAAATCCCCTGTTTTCGCAGAGGAGTTGCCGTTAAAGATCCGAACAGCGATAACGGCGTTAAGCTTCTGATCGAGGATTACCATTCGCAGTGGACAGTTTAGAGATTTGGTCAGCAATCAAGACGTGGGTAACAGAGTACTGCACATTCTACTACAAGAATGACAATACCGTCCAAACCAATACAGAGATCTAATCATGGTGGACCGAGCTCCGAACGGAAGGCCACGGCGACAAACAGCACGAGGCATGGTGGCCCTTGATGCAAACCGTCGATGACCTCATCGAAACCTGCACCACCATCATTTGGATCGCCTCTGCCCTTCACGCAGCAGTCAATTTCGGGCAGTACCCTTATGCTTATTTTCACCCAAACCGGCCTACAGTCAGCCGCCGATTTATGCCCGAACCGAGTACCACTGAGTACGCTGAGCTAACGAAAAACGCTGACCTGGCGTTCTTGAAGACGATCACGCCGCAATTACAAACTATGCTTGGGATCGCTATCATAGAGACCTTGTCTATGCATCTAACGGACGAGATTTACTTAGGACAGAGAGATTCGCTGAATTGGACGGCTGATGATAAGCCTTTGGAGGCGTTCAAGGGGTTTGGAAAGAGTTTGGAGCTGATCGAGAACAATATCATCCGGAGAAACAATGACAAAAAGCTCAAGAATCGGACTGAACCGGTTAACCTACCGTACACTTTGTTGTAACCCAATACAACAGATTACACGAGAAAATGTGGGTTTACTGGGAAAAGGATCCCTAATAGTATCTCTATCTAGAGATACTTTCTTTCTTTCTTTTCTATTACAATCCACAATTATGTGATTATGTCTTTATATATATATATTTTTTTTTTTTTTAATTTGTGTGCTATTGTGATTCTTTGTTATTATTCATTATTGTCATACCCGTCATCTGGTCGCTCAGTGTG